GTGTTTGGTATATAGAATACGTCACAGGTAGCTTGCCAGGCTTTGCCCTGCAGGTGAGATACTTTCGGTAACTTGCCGGACTCTCCAAGAGGGGCGGAGGAATTGAACCCGGCTTGGACGGGCCAGCCGTGTGCAAGGCAAACACCCTACTACTGTGCTATCGCTCCAGCCAACATTGGTTTATATGTCTGAAGGGTATATGACTTTACTGTAACATGCCTACAACCAAAGTGCCAATATTCCCCTCTCACACCCTTGTATAACCTGAGTTGTGTTGTCAGAGTCTAGGGATATTTTTTCCATTGAACATTATCCTTCTCTCACTTTAGTATGCCAACTGTAACTGAGATCATTCGATACTGGTTTAAAGACTCCAATTTTATTAGCTAGCCCTAAGCCAGAGACTAATTGTTTTCAAATAGATATAAGCAGAAATGTTTTAATAGATGAAATTATTAATTTTTAATTTAGTAGCTATTTTTTAAAATTTCTTGAATGTGTCAGAGTGTGTGTTATTAATCAGCTTAATAGTCCTGGATATTCTACAAAAATTAATTGAAGAATAATAATGCAGTCTGAGAGAAGTGTTCTTAAAACAATTTCACTTACAAATTTTCAAGATTATAAAAATTGAATTGCACATATTTCTAGCAATATCTATTTTTATTATATGGTTAAGTAGTTCCATAAGATATAAAAGGTTGACATAAGACATATTTTTTACTATAAACTGACTTTCTCTATTAAATTATTTGATACTAATTGTATTAGAATAATGCACATTCATTACTTGCTAGTATAACCAATAAACCCTATAATTTCAAGTCCTAGAAAAAATAAACATTCATACATATTTAATATCAAATAAAAATATATTTTTATATATCAATTAAAAACAGGCTGGAGCGATAGCACAGCGGGTAGGCATTTGCCTTGCAAGTGGCCAACATGGCCGACCCGAGTTTGATTCCTCCACCCCTCTCGGAGAGCCCAGCAAGCTACCAAGAGTATCTCACCAGCACAGCAAAGCCTGGCAAGCTACCTGTGATGTATTCAATATGCCAAACACAGTAACAACAAAGTCTCACAGTGGAGACGTTACTGGGCCCGTTCGAGAAAATGAATGAACAACGGGAGGACAGTGACAGTGACAGTGAATTAAAAACATTTTATATCAGATTATTTCTGTGACCCCAATGTTCCTGAGGATTTGAGAATCTTCTGGTATAAGTCAGTGTAAAGGAAAACCGAATAGTGAAACATGTACATAAGGTTTCATGAGTCAGCCATATTACACTGGCTTCAATTTAATCACTTTGCCACATCAGAGAAGAGAGAGGCTGGGCATGTAGTTTGATTATGGGTCCAAGAGAAGGAGGAAATGAGTTTTGATAAAAACATAACTGTCTCGACAGTCTCCTCTGATCACTAAATATCAGTCCTTTTCTCATGCTTGAAACATGTTTACTGACTTCTCAAAATTGAAAATGTCCATCTGTTTTTGAATTCATTCATGCAAGAGTTCAGAATCCTCTTTATTAGAGTTGGAATTTATATTTCTTTGGTAACTATAAAAATCATTCCTTAACATGTTTCCAATCCACAACACTCTACCCTCAGTTTTTTTAAAAAAAGAGAGCAGAATAAATACAATAGAATACTTATTAGCAAGAGAAACTGTAGAACAAAGTGAAGCAATATGTTCAATAAGGTCAGGAAACCCTTAAGGGCAGGTACTGTAAGATGCTCCTACCCTGGCAACCTGGGTGATACTTAGGGTTTTACTCCTGCATCTTAGTTCAGGGATCACTCCTGGCCTAGCTTGGGGGACCATATGTGTTGCTAGGGATTGAATCCATGTAGGTTGCGTGCAAAGCAAACACCTTACCCACTGAACTATTGCTCTGGCCTCCAGAAAACTGCCTTGTTTGGTTTTTATTCTGCTTATTGTGAAGATGTTTGTTCCCTGGGTCCTTTGCATCGTCTGCTTTTTCCTCATGTAGTCTTGTTCATTATTAGGCATAGTGATACCTGATGTGAGCATTACTTCATTTAAAATATCCTTGAGACTATGCTCTTTAGCTCAATATATTTTCTAAGTATATTTAATTGTATTTGAATAAAATTTGCTGAAAGTAAGTTGAAAATCTACTAAAGCAAAGTTATAACTAAGTAACTACAAATTATTCTGGATGAAGGACTGTGTATGGGGCTTTACTTTGATTGAATGACATTGTTGTTTATATAATTGAATTATTCTCATATTATTCAGATTTTACATCTAGATTTTAAGTCTTATGATGGTTGAGAAAGTGACTTCTGCCAAATCATGCACACTAAGGTAAGATATATATTTTAAATACAGAAATTGTTATGTTTATGACTTATGTAAACATGTTATAGTAATAAGAGAGCAAATATCAGTACTCTAAAGATTTCTATAATCTAGTACAATTTAGGGATGAAGATAGTTCTGAGGGTTTCAGGCATGTGGAAGCACCAGTTTCAATCTCCAGACCTGCATGGTGCCCCAGCACTGCGGGCAGTAGAAGTATCTCCTAAGCATCTAGCAGGTTGTGGTACCTCCAAAAAAAAAATTTTGTGTAAATTAATCTTTGATCTTAGTCAGGTTACCATATGAAATATTAATCAGTAACCTTGCTATTTGGTAAATTTTGCTTTGTGCCCTTTCCTTTGACATTTTTTTTTATTTTTACTTTTTTCAGGCTCTACAGGAAATGAGTTCATAAAGACACCTGAGGTGTCTTGACAGATTTAACTCTTTGATAAAAAAGTCAAATTTATATGCTTGGGTTTGAGGATTTTTTGGTGTGTGTGTGTGTGTGTGTGTGTGTGTGTGTGTGTGTGTGTGTGTAGTGGGGCACGTTCAGCTCTGCTCAGAGCTTAGTCCTGGCTCTGTGCTCAGGAATGACTCCTCAGGGGACCAAAAGGGGCTCCAGGGATTGAACCCAGGTTGTACAAGAGCAAGGCAAAAGTCCTACCCACTATGCTATCTTGTTGGATCTGAATAATATTTTTAAAGTACTGCAAACTTTCTATATATTCTTCTTTTTAAGTAACTATGTGTATAGATGTGAACATAAAATTACTTTAAAGAGCATCCAAAGAATGGAGATATGTATATCTAAATTTTAACTCTCTTATTCTTCCACTCTTCCTTGATATTGGCATTTTCCAAGGTTCCTTCTATATCTCTCAGTAGACTGATTTATGTAAATGTTAATCTCATTAATGTTAATAATTGGCATCCAATTCTTTTCTGTTACTGGTGGGTACTGAGACAAACACCTAGTATAAAAGTGAAAGTTTAGGCAATAAAGAAAGATACTAATTGGAAGTGTTTTAAATTTGATTGAAAATTATAAAAATATAAAAATACAACACAGGGAGTTCCAGTTCACTATATATAACTTCATTGCTTGTCTGTCTCCCTCAGAATAAGTACTGTTATTCTCCCTCAGAATAAGTGCTGTTAAAATACAGAAAGCAGAGCACTGTAGCACTGTCCTCCCATTGCTCATCAATTTGCTTGAGCAGGCACCAGTAACGTCTAACAACAAATTGTGAGATTTGTTGTAACTGTTTTTGGCATATGCAATACAGCACCAGGAGCTTGTCTGGCTTTGCCATGCGGTCAAGATAATGGCTTTGCCGTGCTGGGCAGAGGAATTGAACTTGGGTTGGCCGGTGCAAGGCAAACACCTTACCTGCTGTGCTATTGCCCCAGCCCATTGATGGTATATTTAATATAAAAGGTACATTTTAACAATAAACGTACCATTTTAGAATTTGTGTTTTTCATTCATTCTTATGTTTTGATGTTTTTTTGTTAGAGCATATAGATATAGATACAGATAGTTTGCTCTTAGGACACAGACTTTAGGCTATTAATTTTTGCAGCTGGTCAAACAGAATATTTTTAAAATCTTGAACTTCAGTGATGATATGTAAGCAGTTTTCAGAAAATTTGGAAATTTTAAATTTCCAAATCGAAATCTTGTTGTTAGTGGGTAATTGTTCATTGGCTTCTAAACTCTGAAGATATTCTGGGTCTGTCTCAGGCTATGTTATGAATAAACAGTGAATCCTGCACATTTCATGTGGGCAGATAAAGTAGCGAGTGTACATCACTCAATGCATACTATAGGATAGTGGTTGAATCACTGAATTAAATGTCCTTATATAACATCTCACTTTGTTACCCGGACATTGGGTTTCTTAAATTTCATCAATAAAAAACGATCACTTACATACCAAGCTGTCATCAATAGTAACTTAGATAGCTTTTCCTTAAATACTAAGATATCTAACAATACGTCTTCTGAAAAATAGCTGTCTAAACAAATTAGTTATGAGGAACCAGACATAAAAAGCAAACTGCTGTTGGCTATTAATTATATGCTTCAGTGTATCAGTGATGGGGAAGCGGGTGGTAAAAATGGTGAAGATGACTGATGAAGTTGAGAACATTTGACAAAGATAACATCTGTACAAGGGAATTAAATTGGTACTTGAGCAAAGTTTTTATTAGTTCCTAAATCCACAAAGGTCACTTTGAAGAGGTGTTAACAGGGGTCCAAGGACATTTCAAACTGTGGTCAGGGCTGTAAAGTAGAACAGGGTACTGCAGATTTTAAGGCAGGGCTAGTTAGTCTGGAATCCCTAAAGGTTTAGTGTTCTTTTGGTCTTTCCAGGTCTCTATCTCTGTCCTTGTTTCTTCCGGCCGCCCCTACTCCCACCCCTAAGATTTTAACTTGGATGAAAGTCTAGTTATTCGAAAAGTAATTTACTGTCAAGTAAAATTAGTCTCCTCACCTCTACACCTTGCAAACAGGCGGGCACTAGACACGGAGCTGTGCCTGCAGAATACATCAGGCCTTTTCCCGCCAACTCCTGCGGGACCGCCTCTAGGTGTCCGGGGTTGGGGGAGGCGGGGATGGGTGGAACTGCGCATGTGCACGGCCAGGCTGGCCGTCCGCTTCTCCGCGGCTCCTCGGACCGCGCGCTATGGAGGCGGAAGCGAACCTGTTGCGCCAGTTCCCGCTCCTTCTGCCCCAGAACCGGGCCAGAACCGTGTATGAGGGATTCATTTCGGCTCAGGTACCCAACCACTTGTTGCCCTTTCGCTAGCAGAGTCTCCCTGCAGCGGCTCAGTTCCTACCCCGTAAGTCTAAGAGGATCTGGGGCCCCCGACCTGTGGGCTTGGTAAAGAAAAGAGCGTAAGGACACCTCAGAGATTAGAATTTTGAGGAAAGCGGCGTTTCCGGAGTCCGAGCGGTCGCGGCCCCTTCCGCACCTTGGCGGGAAAGCTTCTTTCACAGTCGGCGCGTCCGAATACGCGTGCGTGGGGCGGGGCCGGGCGCGGTGTGGGCGGGGCCGGGCGCGGCGTGGCCGAGGCCACGCCCCTGCGGCCCTGCTCCTTGCTGATTTTTTTTCCCTCCAACTCTCCTCGCTCTTCTTGGGTCTCTGAAGGTGGATGACCATTGGTGGGTGGAGACCGTGCCAGTTTACAGTATGTTTCCTGTAGTTATCAACGTTTTGGAGGAAACCCACCTGTTGTCTGTCTGCAAGTCGTGCGTGTACCTGTGCACGTCGTGTACTTTTCGTGCAACTCTCGAACAAGAGTTCATTACTTTGGCCTCTGCTAAGCGGACTCTTTAAGAAGCTGATTGGTGGTTGCATGTGCTGGGTTTTAAAATTTACAAAGCACTTTCTTAGTACAGTGTCTCAGTCCTCCGCTCTTTGAAGAAAGACATAAAAACATGCTAAAACTGGGACTGGTGAGATAGTACAGGGTGCCTTGCACTGGCCATAGCTGACACCCTGTCAGTATTCTGTACCAGCCAGGGGAAATTTCTGAGCACAGAGCCAGAAATAACTGACTCCTGAGCAATGCCGAGTTTGCCCTTCCTCATACCTCCCCATCATGAGAAACTAAAGCATTATTTTGGTTTAGTAGTTGAGTACATCAAGGTGATCACAAAATACTCCTTGAAACACAGGCTGCCAGATTTCCACTCCTGGAATTTCCCACTCCACATTTACAGTAGGGTAGCATATGCTTCTTGGATCGGTTAGACTTTTAAGAATAAACTTGCTCCCTAACATTTACACTCAACATCATGCTTCATTCTTGTTATTGGTATTTTTTTTAAATATTCTCTTTCCCAGTGCAGTTGTATAGAAATTAATATAAAACATATTGATCTCTTTAAAGTTCACATTTTTGGTTTTATTGATTTTATTTTTCTATATATTTCTGTTTGTTTCTGCTTCAGTGACTTCTGATGTTGTTTCTTGAAGTTTAGGTAGAACTGTAGGTCACTGATAATGAGACCTTTCTTTTATTATACAGATATTAAATGCAATAACATTTCCTTTAAACATTGCTTTTTGATCACTCAGATTATAGTAGAATACATTTGTAATTTTTTTGTGGGGTAGGTTTGGGCCATATCTGGCAATTCTCACGGGCAATTCCTGGCTCTGCTCAACAGCGAGCTCTGGCAGTGCGTCGGATACCATATGTGGTGCTAGGGATTAAAACTGGAGTCAGGCATGTGCAAGGCAAGTGCCTTGATTCCTGTTCTATGTTTTTCAGTTTAAATAATGATTTTTTTCTTTGTCCCATTTGCTAATTAAAGAACAATATTTGTTTCTAATTGAGATTTTTTCCCATTATCTTCTTGATACTGATTTATAGTTTTATTTACAAAATTTGTATGATTTGTATAAATTGTTCATATGAATTCTGTTTTGTAAAAGACCTAGACTATGGTCTGTTTTAGCAGGTGGTTTGCATATTATTCGAAAGGGTATGTTGCTATTGTCTGAAGGGTTCATTTAAAATGTCAATAGCTCTGTGGATTTGTAATACTACTGAGGTTTTTTGCATCCTCACTGATTCTCTACTTTGTTATTGAAAAGGGATATTGGAATGTCAAACTATAAATACTGATGTTGCAACTTATACTTTTAATTGCAATTACTTTTAACTTTATAGAGGTTGGAGTTCTTTTATTAGGTACATAAGGTTTTAACATTGTAAAAGTTTTAGGGTTGGGGGCTGGAGCAATAGTACAATGGATAGAGGTAGTACAGAGTTCACATATATTACACCTTTCCCTCAAAAACTTGGGTTTTTCCTATTACTATATTAGTTTGGTATATTCACTAGTTAATGAGCTTTTATTAGTACATTACAAGTTCAAGTTCATACTTTATTCACATTTCCTTCATTTTAATGTAATGACTTTTTTCAGTTTCACGATCTAACCCCAAGATCTCTACTGCATTATCATGTTCCTTCAGACTTCTCTTGTCACTGATAATTTCTCTGACTTTCCTTATTTTGATTACCTTGATTTGGTGATGATTGTGAAATGGCCCTCTATTGAGGAATACTAATCCCAGTATATTATAGATAACTACTCTCCTGGAAACTGTCAGTCTTTCTCTTAATTAGACTGGCATAGGTTTTTGAAAGGAACATCCCAGTTTAAATACAATTTCACTGTATCTTATAAAGGTACATGTCATTATTTGGTTTGTTGAGACTTATGTTGATTTGATCAGTTGGTTAGTGTTTGTCAAGTTTCTCTGGAAAGTTTCTGACTGCCCCTCCATACTTTACTGCTTAGAAAGAAATCACAGTGAAGAGCTAGTGGTTTATGGAGAGATGAGTTATGCATATTTTAATTTAAGACGAATATCTATAATTTATCTGGGATTATTCTGTATAGGCAATAAATTTACATTCCCAATTTATTCAACTGCTTATCTAGGTAAGGACTTACATGCATGTATTTTATTTTTCCAGTTATAATTTAGGACGAAATCAGGATATAGGGTGGTGTATCTGTAGACTCAATTTATAATCCAATATTGTCTTGTACAGATCCTTTTCACAGTTATCCTTCAAAGAGTTTAAGTTAGAAAAGGACCTTTATATATACCTTTATATTCATTGTTTCTGTTACTCCTTCTTGAACTTACAGATTTATTTTCTCATTTACTTTCCTGAAGTTCTTCCTTTATTAAGTACTGTAGTGTGGGTTTGCTACTGATGAATTCTTTTAGTTTGTCTGAATAATTGCCTAGCTACTTGAAAGATTCATTAGGTATAAAATTCTAGATTGATTTTGTGATTATGGTATCTCCCCTGCTAGGTAAGTATTAAAAATTCTAGATTCATTTTTTTTCCTTTTAGTACTTTATGAAGATGTTGTTGCATTGTCTTACATTATTATTTTCTGTGTGAAATCTCTTTATCTTTGTTCTTCTCTAAGTAGTGTGATTCTATTCTTTGCTTTTTAAGATTCTTTTCCATGTGGAAGTAGTCTTCCTTAGCTGTTCTCTGAAGATTCAGGGATATTTTTGATTGGCAGTTCTCTTGGGTTCGCTGCTCAAGGATATGATGCTGGTTGGACCCTGGAGTGCAAGAGAATTGAACCTGGGTCACCTGCTTGTGCTCTAACCAGTATGCTCTCTCCTGAATGGAATTCCTTTTTTAAAATCATGGATTTCTGTCAGTTTTGTTATGTTGTGTCTTGGATCATGTTCCTAAATAGATTTTGGGGAGCTCTTTGGATTTTTTCCTTTAATTTGGAAAAAACAAAACAAACTTTTGCCATTGTTTTCTTCAAAAGATTTTGTTGTTGTTGTTGTTTTTCCTTTCTCATCACTGTACTGGGAACTCCAAAATGACAGACCATTTTAAGTTGTTCCACAATTCACTAATACTTATCCACCACTCCGCCCCCCTCTAATTCTACTTTTTCTTTGGGTACTGTACTGTACTGCCCTTCCATTATTCATCGATTCACTCTAGTGGGCACCAGTAACATCTCACAACAAATTGTGAGACTTGTTATTACTGTTTTTGGCATATCAAATACGTAACGGTGATCTTGCCAGGCTTTGCCGTGCGGGCAGGATACTCTCAGTAGCAAAACAGTCTGGTTTAAAACCATCTAGTTTAGCTTTATCAAACATTCTTAATTTCCTCAGTTTGAATCTTTGTTTGTAAATTGTCTGTGTCTATTCAGTATATTCATGCCTTCCTCTATTTTCTTGAACATATATAATATAGTTATAATTTTAAACTTTTTTAAGCTGACTTTTTTCAAAATATATATTTTCACAAGTGTATAAATTAAAAGTTAATAGCATGATTTATTATGTGATCATACATTAAAAAATTAACATGAAATAGATATATCCTACAAGCCTACAATTTAATCAGAGGAGAAGACAATTAAAAATTTAAGGGAAAATCTGAGTAGACCTATATAAAAGTGTATTTTTACCAATTTTTTTTTATCTGTTGTTTTTGTATTGGGCTAGAGTGATAGCACAGTGGTAGGGCATTTGCCTTGCACGCAGCCAACATGGCCGACCTGAGTTCAATTCCTCTGCCCCTCTCGGAGAGCCTGGGAAGCTACCAAGAGTATCTCGCCCGCATGGCAGAGCCTGGCAAGCTACCCGTGACGTACTGAATATGCCAAACACAGTAACAACAAGTCTCATGATGGAGACGTTACTGGGCCCGCTCGAACAAATCGATGAACAATGGGAGGACCATGTGTGACCGTGTGTGTGTTTTTGTATTTGCTTTAGTTGATTTTTCCCTTCATTTTGAGTTTTTCATGCTTCTTTGTGTACCTAGTATATTTTATTTGAATGCCATACATTTTGCATTCTATTATATAATACTTTTCATTCTCTTAAATGTTATTAAAATGCTTTCTGAGCTGCAGCTAAATTACTGGTTAAAATTTCTGATCTTTATAGCTTTTATATATTTTGCTCATCAGAACCTAAACAATTCTTAGCTTAATTTGGCCTGATCACTGAGGCAACACTATTTGATAATATTTGATATCTCTTATTATTTAAGGTTTTCTGCTCTGTTGGAACTTGATTACCACCTTGTATGAATTCCAAGCTTATTTTGCACACTCCATCTTATGCTTTTCTACTTTTGGGTAGCTTTTTTATAGCAATGAAGCAATCAGTACTTACTCAGCTGAAGATTTTTCACTCATGAAGCCTCTAAAGTTTAGTTTGTTGTAAAGTTTACATTGCATGGTTTTTCTCTTCTCTGTGTATTCTTTCATTTTTGTTCTTGTGAACTATCATGCTTTTCTTTCCCTGACTCATCTTTCTTCTCTAATCATGCTCTTTATGGTTCTCTATCCTAGTCTATATCCTGAAAATTCTGTACAGCAGTAGGTCTCTTACCTTGGACCGGGCCTACTGGAGTTTGATCTCCAGCATCCCATATGGCCCTGCCAGGAATGATTCCTGAGCACAGAGCCAGGGGTAAATGCTGAGCATCCCAGTGAGACTCCAAAACAATTAAAAAATAAACAAAAAGCTCTCTAAGTAGAAAGTCTTGACAGTCATAAGATTTCCTAACATGTTCCCTTTCTTCAGGGGTCAGTGTCTTGCAGTGTGTGGTAGACGTTTGGAATCATAGTTTTATTTTATTTTTTTTTCCCATTTAAAAGAAATGTGTTACGGTAAATTCTGGTTGTTTCCCCATTTAATAAATGTGTTAAACTGCCTTTATTTTTAAAATCTGTATAGTAAGATATATATCTTAGAATGGGTTATGAGTCACTTTTCTCATAATGATCAATCTCCTTTTTAGTATGACATTCCATAAAGTATACTTGGATTATAATTTTAAAAATATATCTTTTGCCTTTATATTTTTATATTCAAAGTATCCGATTATTTAGGTTTTGGGTTTTCCTTGCCAATTTGCTGCTACAGATACTGTTGTCTGATAATCTATTTTTTTTTAAATATTCTCATTTGCTAATTTTTTTGCTTTCTCTCCCTCATGAAATTTTATTCTGTTCTTCCTGGTACTTCTATTTTTTCATTCTTTAATTTTAATAGCACTTAAACTTTTTTTTGAATAGTTTTAAATTTTAGAATCGTGTAAATGCTCATTTGTAATACTTAAAATTCAGTATTGTAATTTATTTTATATAGTGTATTCAAGGGGTTATTATCACATGAATGTTTTCTATTGTTTTTTGATTTTTTTTTTGTCTCAGAGTTTGGCCTAGATGAGGAACAGTATATTTTATGAACAGTTTGATACCTTGGAGTAGTTTGTAAAATTCCTAGTTCATAAAAACTGTCTTCTACTAGTAAAGGACTTGTTAGGGGAGCTCTGTTGTGTGCTATACTGGGAAGTAATTTATTTATATATTCTCAACAGGTAATTTCAAATATATAGTGTTTCTTGTCTTTTGCTTTTGCTGAAGTCATAGGATTTTTGTGACTTTGATAGTACTGCTAATCTACGTACCTTTTATTTACAGAAAATACAGAGATTCAGATTTAGGCAACTGTCTATAATTTTATGCCTTGCAACCAGAAAATAGGTTTCTTGAGAGCAATTAATTTTTTAAAAACATGCTTTAACTAAAGTGAACTAATTTTGGGCATTTTCTCAAATCAGAAAAGTATTTTGGCATGTAACATGGCATTTGACCTTTTCGGTTGGGTGGATTTTGCAAATAAGGGTATTTCGAATTTTATTCTTTCAGATAACAGATCAGTAGAGTAGTTTTGCTATTTTTCATGTAAATTTTGAATTCCAGATTGTTCTTACATCCATGTGTGAGATGTCTATAGAGTTAGGTTAAAGTTACTACATAATACCTTTTAGTGCTTTAATGAAATAGTGAATTATTGTTACTTGACCTTTTCAAAAGGTCAGTGGTACATTTTGTTTCATTTTTTTAAAGGACATTTAAATGTAATGAAAGTCAGAACTGTAATATTACCATGAAAGTAAAGGTTATGGGGTACATTTAATTGTGTTCCTCTATTTTTGAAACTGCTTTGAGGGAGACTGTGCTAAAATTCTCTTTGTAATTGTTTTTCAAGAATTTTATTACTCTTTTTCATTTTGTACTGTTGGAGTAAAAGATTATATTTCTGTTTGTCTTTTCTGCTTACCTTTGCTCAGATTTTATGTGTATTATTCTATTTAAGGTACAAAGTTTAAGCTGCTTACCCATTTTACTTTGTCAAGAAAGTAATGCCGAGCATATTTTTCAGAGAACAGATTTTCCTTCCCTTAGACTTGAGCAAAACTGGTGTATACATTCAACCATAGAGATAGTCAGTATTTAAATTAAAAGAAATAATTTTGTTTTAGTAAGTCAGTTTGGGACAATTAAGTATATTTTATTCAAGGAAATACCTGCATACTTACATTATATAATCAAAGGTATTTTTATTTTATTAAAATTAAAAATATGAACTCTTTATACATTATTGTGATTCTTCCAAATTGATAAAACTTTTTTTTTTCTTTTTGGGTCACACCTGGCCATGCACAGGAGTTACTCCTGACTCTGCACTCAGGAGTTACTCCTGGCGGTGCTCGGGACCATATGGGATGCTGGGAATTGAACCCAGGCCAGCTGCGTGCAAGGCAACACCCTACCTGCTGTGCTATCTCTCCAGCCCGGATAAAACTTTTTAAGGAATTTCCTTTTTCATAAATATTTTCCTAAGAAACATTCTGAATTTTTGTCTACAGTAACAGTTTTTAGTAATATTTTTATTTATGTGAATAACTGTCTTTAAAAGTAACAATGTATCTTATTTTTTGTTTTCCAACAATTTTTTTTTTAGTTTTTAACCTTATTACTTTAAATTCAATGTTCTCTTGCTTATGTTTTAACAAGCATAAAGAATTGATGCCTTTTAGAAAATACTGCCTTAAAATTTTTTTGTGTGTGAACTTTATTTTGTGACCGAAATTCAGGAAACAAATTCTTGTGTTTATGGACCAATATATCTAAATCTTGTTTTTAACTTCATTTATTTATTTAAGGTTAATTTTTCTGTTTGGCTTTTTCTCTCCTTTTTTGTTGTTTTTCTTTCTTATTCTTTTTTTTTTCCTTTTCTTTTTATGACACACCCAGCGATGCTCAGCAATTACTCCTGGTTCTACACTCAGGAATTACTCCTGGCGGTGCTTGGGGGACCATTTGAGATGCTGGGGATCAAATCCCGGTCAGCTGTGTGCAAGGCAAACGCCCTATCTGCTATACTATTTCTCTGGCCCTTTCTCTCTTTTCTTAACTGAACTTTTAATTTTGTTTTATTAAGACAGTCTAATTTGCAAAGTTATTTATAGTTGAGTTTTGGGCATATTGTTTCTCAGCACCAGCCCCATCACCAGTGTCAGCTTCCCTCCACCAGTGTCCTCAGGTTCTCTCATACCCCAGCCTTCCAAATCCCAGCTGGCCTCCTTAGCAGACACATTTTTAAGCTGGGATGTTTTGGTTTGGATCTCCAGCTCCTAGTGTTGCTGACTTTTTGGTTTGTATCTAGCGGTTTCTGTGTGGTTCTGTTTCCACTTTTTGCTTTAGGTGAAAGATGAGAAGATAAATGAATCTTTTTTAATGTGTTCTACAGGGAAGAGATTTCCACATTAAAATATTGTTGCCTGGAGATTTACAACTGAAAAATGCAAGGTGATGTGATATTTTGTTGTATATTTGCATCTTTAAGGGTACAATAAGTACATTTGGTATAAAAGATTTATTCAATTTGTTTTCACTTAATATGTTTATTGGTCAATCAACCAGAAACATTTTCCAGTTTTCCCAACCATTTTGTAAATTACTTTCCCTGATGCTGAGGTGCTGTTCAAATGCAACACATTGTTTTTTTCTCTAGTGATTTTTTATTTGAAGAAATAAATAATAATTGTGTATACTTAACTATGAAGTACTAAGCCGATGCATAAACAAAAGTGCAACAGAATTAGAAAATTTTATTCCTAGTTTTTGACATATTAATTATGTGTATATTTAGTTTGTTGAAATAGTAACAACATAACCTACTGACAGAGACAACCTGCCTAGAAATTCTATAAAATGAGACTGGAAATTGAGACAGTATCTCAATCTGTTCCTAAATATCTTTTATGTAGAATGAAGGAACAGTTTATAGAGTTACTTAAGAGTGTGTTTGACAGGATTTCATGGTTTACTGGAAGTAGAAAATAGGAGGGAAAGGTGACTGTGTTTTCCAGTTTCCTGGGTCAGATCATTAAGCTAGATATAAGGTTATAGATCATGGATGGAGAAGTAGAAGAGAAATTTCCTTTAGACATAAGATATGAAAGCTCAAGAGGAGATTTTAGTTGGTGTGGAGCTTGAGTATGAGACAGAAAGTAGCTGTATTTGGAAGTCATGGTAGGCATGAGAGCTGGGATTAAGGGAGATTTGCTAGTGCCTGCAGGTGTGGAGTGAAAAAAGAAAACCAGAGACAGAAACTTGGAGGCATTTCAACAATTAAAGGACTGGTTAATAAAGAGAAACTTGGAAAATGAGTAAGGGTTGACCAGAGACTATAGAGGAAAATTGGGACAAGAGTGCCGTTAAAACCAAATGAAAAAGGCTTAAAGAGGGAATAGTTACAATTTCATGTGGTAAAGGAATCAGGTTAGATATGAATAGAATTTGGCCAGAAGCTAGAAGCCTGGTTGTGTTTGGTTTTGGAATTGGTGAGTGGGTAGAAAGGAAATGTAAACAGTATGGATTAGCATGAAGAAAAGGAGAAGCTACATAAGAGTGTCTAGTAAAGGAGAGTTGTAATTTTTAAGATGAAATTTCCTTGAACAAGTTTCTATATTGTAGGAAAAGGAAGCAGAAGTAAGAATAGCACGGTATAGGGATAGTAATTTATACCACCAAGTTGATGGCAGGAATGGAAAGCATCTTTGAGATGGAGTTTCTCATGGAAAATTATATTAACTTCTCTGTTACTAAGAGAAGAAAGAGATGGGAATAAAACACTCAGATTGGAGGGAGTTGTGGTAGTTTGAAAAGGCTTTAGCTGGAAAACTCAGATGCTTTATTATACGTCTAAGCCAGTAAAAGCAGTTTCTAGAAGGGTTACTTAGCAGGCAGTAAAGAGCAAAATTGAGGTAAGCCAGTAGATGGACACAAATGAATTTAGTTAAAAATAGGTATACTTTTAGTTTATATTAATCCAGAATTTTAAGAATATATATATATATATATATATATATATATATATATATATATATACACATGTGCTGGAGCGAAAGCACAGTGGGTAGGGCATTTGCCTTGCATGCAGCCAACACGGCCTACCTGGAGTTCGATTCCTCCGCCCCTCTCGGAGAGCCCGGCAAGCTACCAAGAGTATCTCGCTCGCATGGCAAAGCCTGGCAAGCTACCCGTGGCGTATTCAATATGGCAAACACAGTAACAAGTCTAACAATGTTACTGGGCCTGCTCAAGCAAATCGATGAACAATGGGAGGACAGTGACAATGATACATACGCATTTCTTTTTCAATACATATCTGATATGTTATGAAAAAAATTATTATTTTGGGAATCTGGAAAATGACTCTGTGACAAAGTGCTTTCCAGCAAGCACAAGGTAACGAGTTCAAACCTCATTGCCACTTGCATATGCTAAAGTGTTCCTAACATCCCTATTTTAATTTATTTATCCTTGGTGAGGGAAACAAATAGTTTTTATTTAGCCTATCTTGGAATAAATTCTATTTTACTAGTAAATGTTGCTTTGACTCTGTTACAGTAAGAAAGGTGAACAACTATTATGTCTTTTACTGATTGCTGTTATTTCTATTTTGAAATAAAATCTGTACCAACAGCTAGAAGACAAGATTTTCAAAAGTATCAGTGGTAAAAAAATTATTGATTTATAAGAATTATTTTTATGCCATTCTTTTCTATGTACTTGTTGATGTTAGCATACAAATATTTCTTTTTTCTTTTCATTCTGACAATGAGTTTTGTTCCATTAAAATTTCAGATTACTATGCAGTTGGCAGCTGAGAACAATACTTAGTGGATACCATCAAATAATACAACAGGCAAGTCTTTTAAAGGATTTATGTATAAAGCCTAGGATAAAAAATCATTAATTTCACTGTTTCAAAAAATTTGTTTGGCAGAATATTGCAATAAAGTGGTTTACCAGTTGCTGAATTTTGTGGGTTTCATTTCTGTCTCTTAGACACCTTAGGAATTCATACTTTTCATAAAATATTTTCTAATTAAGAATCCTCTGTAGATATCTAGGCAGCATTTATGTTTAAGCTTATTTCTATGCTAGTGACTTTAGTGTCTTCAAATACATTCACCTTTACCCCTATCTATCACTTTTTTGAGTGATGTTTGTGTCGAGACTGAAAAGTTGGAGGTTGGAAAAAATCCAGGGCCCATTTAGGAATTGCAGGGCAGTTTTGGAAAAATGGATTGTAAATCTTTAGTACAGCAAAAGGTGGGTGGTGAAAATGATTTGGGATCCCATATGTGTACATGAGAGTAGATAAAAGGTATTTTTTTTTGTAATTTTACAACTGGAAGTTTATCCCTTTTGACTACCTTTTTTCATTTTATTCACCCTCATCCCCACTCCAATTTAGTTGTTATTAGTATTTAGGCTCTTCTACTAAAAATATTTTTTAAGGATTAGAGAAAATTTTTTGAAGTCACTGTTCCTAAAAATAATGAAATCACTTTTAGAGAAGAAAGACTGTAAGTAGAATTGCATTGCTTTTGATACTTTTTTGAGTGTTTTTATCTCATTTTTATTTTCCCTGTTTTAAGATCAAGTTGTCGTATATAATTGATATGATGGACATTCTCACATAACTCTTTACTGAACCACAAAGAAATTATAGGAGCTGACAGTATAACTATTTGCAGTTTTTAAAAGGATAACTAAATTTCTACTCTATTTTCTGCCCACTGCCTTCTACCTCTTCCTGCAACTACTAATTATTATATACTAAGTTTTAGGAGATGAATATATTGTAATATTTAAATAAACTGAAAAATGTGTCATTAAAGACTGAGTTTAATTATAAGATCTAAAACTTTTTCTTCACCAGTTTATCAAGAGGTTTCCTAGAAAAAATTCCCAATTACTTATCCATCTCTTCCTTATTCTCTAATTAGTTATGTCAGACCATTTTGGTTTTTGCTTTTGTTTTATTCCAAAGTCCAGGTGAATATATTGTGTAAAAACTATATCTTATGCATGCGGGGGAGGGATGTGAAGATGATGTGTTGTTGTTGTTGGGCTCTTGGGGCAGCTCTCTCTCCACGTTTGGTGCTCTCGAGCTGCTGTGTATGGACCAGATTGGGATGGCTCCTCTTTTGTGCTTTGTTTCTGTGCATGCTGTTGTGTTCTCTTCTGTCTGTCTCTCTATTTCTGACTCTGTCTCTATAGTCTCTCCTCTGGTCTCTTCGATCTCTCTCTCTAGAGCTCTTCTGCTTCTTTCTCTGGAGCCCTTCGCTCTGGATTCTGACTCTCTCCCTGTGGATTCTGACTCTGCCCCTGGATTTTGACTCTGGCCTCTGGATTCTGAATCTGCTTCTTGTCGCTCTTACAGTCTTAGTTTATATAACAGTCACATAGGGTGATGCACAAAGGTGGGTTGAACATTAATGAATCAACAAAGAGAGGTAAAACCATTCCTCCAGGAGATAAACTCAAGGATAAAATCTAATCTAAAGAGATTACTCTGGATTACTTGGAGATCCATTTAAGGGCGGGATCCCATTCAGGGTGTGTCACTTTCTTCTTTGCTCAGCTAGTAATCCACTTAAATAGTTGTAGTAAATCTACTTCTGATATTTCTAGCAATGTCATTCTGTATGAGCCCAGTTAGAGATATATCAACTTAGTTTGATTCTTCCTGAGGATGTCTTATCACAGTTCTCAGGCCAGGTTAGTCTTCCTAACCCCAGCAGGGTCCTAGTCTTGTCGTTACTTTTGGATCATGACAGCGTTTGTCTACGATCATGCTCTCAACTTATAGTTGAGTATTGTGGTGCTTTGGCCTGGCCCATTTCGATGCCAGGGTGGCTCACAGCTTGCCCTGCGCCCATTCAGTCCCTTGTTGGGACCCTGCTTTTGGGGTGCTAGGAACTACGGGCAACTGAGTCGAGAGCAGATGCCCAGGAGTAAATATTATTGGAGTCAGTCAACTCCCCAGTTACAAAGCATAATATTAACTGTCTTCCTGTGTCCATACAGAAAGGACATTGCTTTAAGGTAAACAAGTTCCCTGCGGCAAGGCTGAAAGGACAAACCCTTTGTTATCCTACAATATTGTTCTTTCCTTAAATCATTTTTAATTTTAGTAAACAATGAATTAGGGTTTTAGTATTTTTTTCTGTTAGGGACAGGTAACAAACTTTTTAAACTTTGAAGGTCTTTCTGAAAATCTTAATCCTAACTACTTTATCTATACTGCCCTTGTGAGCACCAAAGTAACTTGTGACAAGAGTAAATGTGGATGGTGGCATATTTCAATTCAACTTTATTTTAAAGCAGATATTGGGTTGAATTTAGCTGTAGTTTGTAGACTTTGAGTATAATTTATTACTTGTTTTGTAAAATAAGAGGGGAATGTGTATAATAGTGTTTCACGAGTCAGGGTGCTAGAAAGATCCAGGTGGATTGGTAGAAGCAACAGGTACAAATTGGGGCCTTTTCTGTTTACTCAAAGAAGGTATATTTTCAGTGGGGTGCTGAGTGATTTATTTTTTTTCTAAAAAGTAGGTGGTAGGTCAAATAAGTTTGAGAGCATATGAAATAGAGGGGAGAATGAACTATTTGTTCTGTATTCATATCCCAACTAAAGTTGTATTATAATGTAGTGATATATTTTATGCCACATTAAGATTCTCATTTATATAAAAGGAGCAAACAAATTCACATATCTGTTCATAACAATGTGGTATTAGGGCAGTGTATCACAATAAAGTAGCAAAACCTATCCTGCAGAGAAATGCTTCAGAACTTTAAAACTATTTCAAGCAGAGAAATGCTTCAGATTTTATCAAAGAAAAATTTAAACTTGCGTATTTAAATTAAACACTGGCTGGAGTGATAGCACAGCGGTAGGGCGTTCGCCTTACAAGCAGCCAACATGGCCGACCCGAGTTCGATTCCTCCGCCCCTCTCGGAGAGCCCGTCAAGCTACCGAGAGTATTCGATATGCCAGACACAGTAACAACAAAGTCTCCAATGGAGACGTTACTGGGCCCGCTCGAGCAAATCGACGATCAACGGGAGGGCCTTTACCTTTACCTTTATTTAAATTAAACTATAATTCTGCTCTAAATCTTCTCTTCTCTTCTCTTCTCTTCTCTTCTCTTCTCTTCTCTTCTCTTCTCTTCTCTTCTCTTCTCTTCTCTTCTCTTCTCTTCTCTTCTCTTCATGAAGGTCTTGGGGCTTCAGCAGGTGGGATGTTTGTTTTGCATGTTGCCAACTTGGGTTTGTTCCTCTGCACCCTGTATGGTCTGCAAGCCCCATAAGGAGTGATACCTGAGGGCAGGGCCAGAAATAAGTCCTGACCACTGTATATGGGTATGGACCAAAACCAAAACAAACAAAATGAATGAAGCTCTAGGAAATGGAGCCATAAAATATTTTTACTTTAGAAGGTATTTTGTCATTTAATTATAATTGTTTTCCCATTTAAAGGCTTTTTTCTTTTGAATTAATATGACTTAGTTGTGAAAGAACAAAAATAAATCTTAAGGGAGAACAATAGAATCATATTATGAAATAGAAATTAATTCATTGACTTTACCAAATTTTTTTTTTTCCTGACTTCGGGCCACACCCAGTGGTACTCCGGGCATACTCTTGGCTCTGAGTTCAGGCATCACTCCTGACAAGTATGAAGGGACCTTTGCGGTTCTAGGATCCAACCACTATCAGCCATGTGCAAGATAAGCTCCCTGCCTGCCTCTCTCTGCCCCCTGCCTAGATTTCTTTAATTGTATTTTTCCCCCCTTTTTTAGTATCTTACAGTGTTCTTTCTTTTTCTCTCATATCACTTGTATGAGAGCACCAAATCCTCTCATATCACTTTTTCAGCCAACATTGGTATGGTTTAATTAATTTGTTAAAGTGACAGTAAACCATATTGATGGATTAAAGATATGTGTGAAGCGTTAAGTGACATTCTCACACAGTTTAGTAGCCCTCACCGAAATAAATTGGAGGTCTTTAATTAGATTTTCTAAGTGAAATTGATAGGATTAGGAGGGATGATGATTCTTTCATTTTTAGATCTTAAAGATATAGCTAATAAATATATATTACATACAGCTTATATACAACTAAAATGATTATAATATTCACATTCACATGAACCTTTATTGTATTTGTTTAGTCCATGCAGCATGCATTGTACAAAAGTTAATTGGAAATGTGGTTTTGATTTAGAGAATGAAGCACTCTCCTGATCTATTGAGCTTTATGATGGAGTTGAAGATGGTCTTGGTAAGACATGCACTGCTATAATATTCTATTATAATTTTGGTTTGTTTTTATGTAGTTCTTTTAAGAACACATATGATTTGAGTTTAACACTTTAAACTCCCAGTCCTTTAAATTTTTTTATTTTTAGGGGGTGGGATGGGAATGTGGTGCTGGAACTGAAATCAGGATCTTGGAATTGCAAGGCACGTGCCTGTGAGCCATCTCCCCAATTCCTGAGTTCTGTTTTAATTTTCATAAATATTTTGGAAATAGTATTTTTAAATAAGGTTTTGGTAAAATGTTAGTATCAGAACAAAGTTTAAAAATTAACTTCTAGGGCTGGAGCAGTAGCACAGCGGGTAGGGTGTTTGTCTTGCATGCAGCCAACCAGGGTTCGGTTCCCAGCATCCCATATGGTCCCCCGAGTACCGCCAGGGTTAATTCCTGAGCGCAGAGCCAGGAGGAACTCCTGTGCATTGCTGGGTGTGACCCAAAAAGCAATAAATAAATAAATAAATAAATAAATAAAATAAATTAACTTCTAAAGTTTAAATTTTGAATTTTAAACCCTAGAAGATAAAGATTACCAATTTTATCAAAGGGCAATGTATAATAACCTTAAAAATGTCTGGTGAAGAAGTGAATCATTGTTTTAAATTCTCTGAGAAACATACTGAAAAGTGTCTTTCATCTTTTAAAAATCATTTTAATATTTCATAAACAGAATATGAAACCAAAATCAAATTGTACTGTGTTCTATTATACTCTTGTTATTGATAAAAATTCTTAAAATATTTTTTTAACTTAGGCATTGTGATTTACACTTGTGTCTGTGAGATGGGTTCAGATAAACAGTGTCAACTTCCCACCACCAATATCCCCAGCTTGCCTCTCACTGAAGTTAATTTTATTATGTTATAAGCATAGTTCTTTTACTCAATTAATTTCAAGAAACGTTAAGATGTTTTAGACTAAAATTAATACTGAGATTGCTTTTTAATTCAAAAATCTGTTTAATATGTTTGTTATTGCAATTCTAACTGCAAATGAGATTTTAGCTTCCTTAAAAAATTGCATACAGAAGTTGGTGATGTTATACCTTTAAGACAGTTTGCCTAAAAATATACTTTATCTATTGGGTTGTGTTACAAGTAAGATTTCTAAACTAAAACTGATGAACGTAATAGTAATGATGTCCAAATGAAATCAGTATTTTTTACTTCTAAAATTTTATAAATCTCCCAGTGTGAATTGTGGTAAATATTTCAGTAAATATTTAATAGTTAAGATTATCTTGTATTTAACAGAATCCTATAAGATGTTTCATTTTATTTCTGTTTTAGAATTGAGTCATTTGAGCAGCAAGGTCTCAAATAGAGATAATATTATTCAGAATTTTAAACCACTGTTGATAAAACCCATATTCTTTCTACTTTGTATCTGTCTACTTCTATGAAGTCTTCTGTGAAGAATAGCTTGCTTTTCTGCTTTCTCTCTTTTATCTGTTAAGATTTCAGAGTAGGTCTGGGGTAATAGTACAGTAGGTAAAGTGCTTTCCTTACATGCAGCTGACTCAGGTTGGATTCCCACCATCCCATGCTGTCCCATAAGCTTGCCAATTGCACAGAACAAGGAGTAAGCCCTGAATACCTCAGGGTGTGGCCCCAAGACAAACAAAAATTTCAGAGTAAAAGTAACTTGCATGAAAATAGAAAAGGGAGTTAAAATGCATTTGTCTTAAGAATATTTGGTTTTATTGTTAAGATAGTGATAATATTACTGAATAAATATAAATTTCTAAAGAAATACGTAACTATTAACATGTAAAATACAGGATGTATTTTGACTGCTTATGTATTATACTGCTTATATAATATACTTATATACTGCTTATATAATATGTATATTATAAATTTGGTAAAAAATAAATCTAAGATATGTACAATTATGATATGCATTATATAGTTGAACTAATAGTCAAATTAATTTTTTTGGCTATTTTGCTAATTATTTGTTTTGGTATTTTTTTTTTTGTTAAAAAAGGCAGCATACTCTGTCTTCTAGGCCACATGTACATTTTATAATGTGTATAAAATTTTTGACCTTAAAAATTCACACACACATATATGTGTGTAAGAGGGGAGGTATATATATACTTGGCAAGGTTTGTATCTTTGAAGTGTTAATTTTCCTTTTTAATATTTTTCGGTCTTTATTGAAGTACTCTGATTTACAAGACTGTTAATTTGATTTCATGTGTACATTATTCCAACACAAGCCCCATCTTCAAAGGACACCTTTAATGTCTCCCTACCCATACACTCATCTGCAAACTCAGTTCTGTTGACATACTCTTCATTTCTGTTTCATTTTGTCCTTTTTTGCTACCTTACTCTATATCTTTAAGTCACACCAGTGAGAGAGATCATTCTGTATCCATCCCTTTCCTTCTGCCTAACTTCACTAAGAATGATATGCTCTACTTCCATGGTTAAGCCAGAGGATAGTAACAGTACTTTCCTGGTTAGGTAGTATTACTGAATGTAAGTCCATCAAAGAAATTAGTAAGTAGCTATGTATTGTGATAGTGAAGGCAATTTTTTTTTCATTTTTTGGTAATGGTGCATTTTACAAGTAGATCAGTGTAACCCTTATAATTTATTCTTTTCTTTAAAACTTTGTATTTCTATCAAACATTATAGCCAAAGGAGTGGAAAGATAAAGATGCCTTGAGATCAAGGATTTTATTTTATTTTTTTAGACTTAAAAAAACTCTGATAGATACACTAGTCCCAGGAAAATATGAAACTCTTAAGTTCTTTTCATAGTATAATACCAGTTTTGTATGATTTTCAGGGCCATCCTTTGGCTTATTCATCTCTTTTTTGATTAATAGAAGAATGATTCATCTGGATTTTCTGTAACAATAATGAGCACTTTATTTTGTAGTCAGTTACAATTTATTTTCTAGCATTTAACAACTGATTCAAGATTTTCTTTCCTTTGAACAGGAAGCTGCTTTAAAGAACAAACAAGAGCTCTCTATTCCACCTCCTCCGCAGTTCTACTCAAGTGTTATTGAAGATCTAGGAGTTTTGGGTTGGGATAAGTATGTCTATTTATTTTATTTACTTTTTTGTTTTGGGCTTTTGGACCACCTCGCGGGAGTCCAGAGCACTCTCAGCAATGTGCTTGGTGGTTACTCTCAGTGGTTCTCAGGGGATAATGTGGTACTGGGTATCAAACCTGAGCTTGCCGCATATCTACACCACCACTTTGGCCCAAGTATGTCAATTTTAAAACACATTTCAGTTTTGGTGAGATAGTACAGCAGATGAGGTACTTGACTTGCAGATGGCTGATCTGGGTTTGATCTCTGGTACCAACCATACATGGTCCCTGGAGGACCACTAAGAGTGATGGTCCCTGAACAAAAGGTGAGGAGTAAGTTCTGTGCAAAGCTGGGTATAGCCCCCAAATCAAAACAAGTTAATATATAAAATGTATTTAGAAATACCTTGTTTTACATATTTAAATTTAATATAGTGGAATTAATGGCAATTTATTTTCTATTTTCAATATTTTAATGTATAGTATCTGTACTTATGGATTAAAGATATTTTATAACCCCAAAATGAACTACAAGGTATATAACTAAGTAGAATTTGGAAACTACAATATTGTAGCACTGTAGCACTGTCCCCCTGTTGTTCATCCATTTGCTCGAGTGGGCCCAGTAACGTCTCCATTGTGAGACTTGTTTTCACTATGTTTGGCATATCAAGTACGTCACGGGTAGCTTGCCAGACTTTGCCGTGCGGGCGAGATACTCTTGGTAGCTTGGCAGGCTCTCCAAGAGGGGCGAACCACGCAAGGCAGACACCCTACTGCTGTGCTACTTAAGGATCATGACCATCCTGTTGTTCGTTGATTGCCTTGAGCAGTCCCCAGTACCGTCTCATTCGTCCTAGCCCTGAGATTTTTGAAAAAGTGCCACATTCAAGGCTCTTTCAGGGTTAGGAGAATGAGACCTATCATTGTTACTGGTATTTGGCATATTGGGTACGCCACGGGGAGTTTGCCAGACTCTGCTGTGTGGGCAGGTTACATTCGGTAGCCTGCCAGTTTGTCCAAAGTAGGAATGAGACAATATGATGTCAGCTTCCGGGAGCTGGGTTTTATAGTCTCTGGGTCTTGGCCGTTGATGGGATTACACCGCGCCAAGGGGCCAGTTGGTGGGTGTGACCCCTGCCTACTGGAATATGGAGGATTTGGGTGGAGGATGCTCAGCCCCGATCCGAGCAGGCTTGGAGATCTCGGCCCCGGGACCCGCATGCCTGTGTTCCTCTGCTGGTATCTTCATGCGTGTGGAGAGTGGTCACAGCATGGTGGTGGCTGGTTCTGGAGGTCTTCGGCTGCCGTAGCCCTGGTCGGGGCGGGAAGGGAAACTCAACCCGCTCCCCTCCAAGGGGCTCAGCGAGGACAGCCATGCGCGGGGGCAGGAGACTCTGCATGAGAGGGGGATGGGAGCACCTCAAGTGCTACTTATATTTATTAATTATTCATTTTTCCATTACCCTTTCCTTGTCCCTGTGACGATGTGCCAGAGATTGCACACATTTGTTCTGATGCTGGGGTCACAAATGGAGTGATGCCTCGATAAAACTTGAAATATGGGTGATGACAGTTAGAGAACTTGAGTCTTTACATTGCAGAAAGTACTACATGACTGAGATCTACTTTTCCCCCTTTACTATAATCCTACAGTATTCTGAAAGTCTCTAAACCCCATAGACCTTAAAGCTGTCTCTTGAGTAGCAACCACAGAAACTCAGTTGTTAAATGTGTTGACAAGCTCCTTTTTGAAAGAAGCTGGAAACTTGTTTTTTTTTTGTTGAAAATTCCTGGGAAAATCTCACCGGCTCTTTCTATCTCTTAGAGGTTCTTGGAGCATCTTGTTGTAACAGACAGATCAAGTCTTATGGGGAGAAACTAGGACGAAAGTGTTTCTGCCCACTCCCACTACACTTATCAAGGGAGGGGGTATCCATGGAGTGTGTTCATGAGTCTGTTTGAACAGCTGCTTCTTCATTTGCTTTATTCCTATGTAATTTGTGAAATAAGCTTCATTGGATTATTTAGGGGTAGGTTGATTTGATTTTAGGACTGGCTGATCTGGGGGCTCATTTCCCAGATGGCAGCTTTAAAGTCAAGGTGCCTAATGTATGGATCAAATTCTTCATGATTCAGAAAAGGTGGGATTTGGGGATTCTTGATTATATGATATTTTGTTGGAGGTGAATGTAACAGTGTATTCTACTTTTACTTATTTGTTCCATGTGGAATCTCAGTTGTCTAATGTATAAGAGTTATTCAACTAGTGTCTCGATTTCTCTCAGGAAATTGAAGTTATTTCTTGAGTATTGCTGAATTATCCGTGTTTGAAAATTCATGCCTATAACTTGAAAAATTAAACTGTAAACTTGCATTTTTTTGTATATGTGTGTTTTTTAGTTAATGTACACTTTGTCTAAATTTCAAACTGTATAACCTTTAGAGATTTTGTAATTTGATTAGCAAACTTTAACAACTAAATTTTTGAAGAATAATTTTCTTTGAACAAATGATGCATAAAGCGACTTTAATTTAGTAAGTAAAGTATGCTGATAGCCAAAATTTATTTCATATGCCAGCTGAAAGAAATCTGTGGTGATTTACTGATATTTAGTTGTGAAATTTAGTTCCCTTCTTGGTATGAATGCTTTGAAAATTACCATTTATTATTAGGTTCTATTCTATATTTTCCACTCTGAGCTAAAGCTGCAGTAAAGATTTACTAGTTCTTATCATCTTAGCACTATTGTTTAGTTTTTCAGAATGTGTTTAAAATATTTATGTGCATTTTTAAAACTTATTTTCTGAGTTGTTCATTTGATAGCTGACTTAAGAACTAGAAAATCAAATAGCTGTTTAAATAAAAAAACTTAAATAAGTATAGAATATACAGTCCTTTACTAAATCTTGTATTATAATCTGGTTACTGAAGAAAAACACTACAGAGGCATACATTTATTAACTTACATGTGCTTTGTTCCTCAAAGTGGTAAAGACTCTTTGTCATAATTTATAGTGACCAGAGTGATAGTATAGTGGGTAGTACTATTCCTTGTATAGGACTAATCCAAGTTCTATCCTCCGTATTCTTTATAGTCCCTGAGCACCCTGGGAATAATTCCTGAGTACAGGGCAAGGAGTAACATTTGAGCATTGGCAGGTATGGCCCCCCAAACAAAAATAAACTCAAATATGTGGTATGTGGTGATTATTTGAGAAAGGGGCTTTTTCAGTCTCTGTTGCCTATACATATATATATGTATATATGTATATATATATATATTCCTTAAAAGTCTTTTTATAAGAATTCAAAACAATATTTTCTGTGGATCTGTTTCATCTCTTTTTAAAAAATAGCTGAATATTATGAAGATGTGGAAGGGTGGGTTAGTCATTGTGCAAACATGGACTTCACATGCTTTTTTTTTCACTTTTTTGTTTTTTTTTGGTTTTTCAGCCACATCTAGCAATGCTTAGGACTTATTCCTGTCTCTGAACATAGAGATCACTCCTGGAGGTACTCAGGGTACCATATGGGGTGCCAGGGGTTGAACCCAGGTCAAATGTGTGCAAGACCTTGCTCACTGTACTATCTTTATGTCCCTAAGCTTACTTTTTTTTATAATTACTTTTTAACATTATTGCCTTTCTGGTTAATGCAAGTGTATAGATCCATACTTCAGAGCCCTGAAGTTTTGCCAAAAAATATTACTTTGAATTTCAGTTATTAAACCTTATTAAAGATCGTGATTGCTGGGCTGGAGCGATAGCACAGCGGGTAGGGCATTTGCCTTGCATGCAGCCAACATGGCCAATACAGGTTCGATTCCCAGCATCCCATATGGTCCCCCGAGCACCGCCGGGAGTGATTCCTGAGTGCAGAGCCAGGAGTAACCCCTGAGCATCGCCGGGTGTGACCCAAAAAGCAAAAAAAAAAAAAAAAAGATTGTGATTGCAAGTACTATGTCAGTGATGGATTGTATCTTACAATCCATAACTTTATATGTTTTCTGATTACCTTAGAACATTAGTACAGAACTGCATTGTTTTCTTCTGGCAATTGCTCTTGATATTATACTGCTGACTTTTATTAAAAGATATCACCTGAAAGTGCCTGTGAAAGTGCAATAGGAATTTTATGTGAAGAGAACCTTTCATTTTATGACAGAGCACTGTCTTTATGAAAGTCGTGAAAGAAGGTTTTGCCTGTACCAGATGTTGAGAACATTATGGTTCTCTTGAATATATCTGACTTTTAACTTAATGGGGAATATGAATTCTAAAGTTTGATTATACTCTTTGACTTGTTCCTTTGAATGCTTCTTTCAAAACGTTGACCACTTTTCTGTTTATTACTATTATTTTTTATTTATTTATTTTTACTGAAATCAGCTTAATTCTACTTGTCAATCAGAAACCATAATTTTAGTTACATGAATACTGTAAAGATTATCAAGACCTGCTTTGAGAGTTAGCTCTTGTCAGTTTTGGTAAATGTTTATTTCCACTTGTTGCTGGGTATAGTGCTTTATGTTTATTCATTACTCACATTTACTAGCTATGCATATTTTATATGCTTTATGATTTATTCACATTTATTAGCTATGCATATTTTATATGCTTAATGATTTTTTTGGCCTGCTTTTACTAAGAGATCTGGAGAGAGTTGTTAAATTCCCCCAATGTGATAGTGCTTTTTTGGATCATGATTTTGTCCTCTTATATTTGTAATCATGTAACAGAGCGTATACAAATCTATAATTGCTTCGATTTCCTTGTGTATTGTCTCCTGTTTTTTTCTGTGATCCTGGGGATTTATAACAGGATCTCACACAGTCAGCTATGCACTCTCTCACTGAGCCACACCACTAACTCCTATTCTCCATATTTCAATGTTTCTTCTCCTCTCTATTATCTCTTACATTATTATCTAAATTATTATATATTAGTATAACTATACCAGGTGGTTAGTTACAAATTTAAATACTCTTCGTT